AAGCAGCTTTTGCATGCAAAGTATGAAACTCAAATTCAAATCTTACGAGATAATTCTGAAAAAGCAATAAAAAAGTTAAAAAATGATTTAAAAGCAAGCTTAGAATTGCAGAAAATTTATCATGAAAAATGTATTTCATTATCAGATAAAGCTGCTGTTACAAAAGCTACATTCAATGAAGGAATAAACATATCAGAAGAACAGTATAATACATTAAAGATGAAATCTGAAGATGATCTTTCATTACAAGAGTTGTTTTCTGTGAGTTGTTGTTTTATTTTATTTAAACTTTTTTATAATGAGAAAGAGAAGTATGACTATGAGTGATACAGTTAAAGCAAATGAGTTGTATGATATGGTTAAAGCAAGCAAGTTTTTTGTTTTATTTTGTTCTTTCTTGATAAGGATACCCCTACTAACAATAGTACATAACAGTAAAATAACTCTAACATATCAAAGGTATAGCAAATAGGTTGATGAGAAATAGCAGTGATTTGTAGCATCATAAATAACAATGTTGACAATAATTTTATTTTTCATTATTACTAATCAGCATTTTAAACGCATTATAGTTTTACTTTTGTACTTTATATTAAATATATTACATCGTTCTTTATATTACATACATTACATCGTTATTTATATTACATATACATAATAGTTTAATTTTTGTACTTTAGCAAAAGTGGAGTTAAAAGTGTATTTTTTTTATGTAGTAGTTGCTACTGCCATTTCGATTCCCACCACGTCCCTGGTAGTACTGCACTCAACTTGTTTCCTAGCGCAGCGGCCTTGTTTGTGTTTCGGAGTTATAGAGTTGAGAGAGGGTTGTTACCACAAATAAGTAGCCTCCTCATCAGTAGTGGCCTTCTCGGCCTTGAGGAGGTGAATTAAAATAAAATTAAAAAAAAAAAAAATTAGCAATTAATTTACTGCTAGCAGCGGTAAGACTCTTAACTGTATTAACAACTGAATATATACAAGTTTATGTTTATTTTGTTTCCAGTTACATATCTATGAAAAAGTAAATCTTCTTCAAATTCAAATAGAAAGTTTATCTCAACGAAATGAAATGCTTGCTGCAGATTTAAGAGATAAAGAAGAAGAATTGTCTTTAGAAAAACAAGTTAGATTTTTTTTTTTTTTAATTTAAATTTTTTTGAAAATTTCAAAATTATATTTTTTTTTTACAAAAATTTGATTATGAGCATATTTTATGTGTGTACATAGATGGTATTTTGTCTGACTTTATAACCTTTTGGTGCAAAATTTTGGAAGTCTGACAAAATGTTTTTGTTACCTATATTTTTATGTCTACTGAACCAAATATGTTCATAAAGATTTTCTATGATATTAGAAAACATGTTGCATAGTTTTGGGGAGGGGGTATTTATTGTTTGTAGAGTTGTCAGTTTTTTGTGTTCACAATTTCGATATGATTAAAAAAAAAATAGTTATTTTAAAGCATTATTTTAATTTGATTTTTTTTTTAATTTATATTTTGCTAAATTTAAAAAAGAATTTAAATATTTTGTCATTATACATACATTTGTGACATACAAATACAAAAAACACAAGTTTTACTAGAATGCATTTTTATTTCAATGAAAATAAATTTAACTTTCAAGTGTTTTATATTCATTTCTCTAAAAAAATTATCGCACAGTTGAAAATTTAGCAATTTATTACCAAAAAAAAAAAGTTTATTTTTATAAAAATTTTATATCATCTTGTTCAGAAAAAGATTTACTTTAATTTATTTTACTATGTTTTATATATATATATATATATATATATATATATATATATATATATATATATATATATATATATATATATATATATATATATATATATATATATATATATATATATATATATATATATATATATATATGTATATATATATATTTATTTATTTATTTATATTAAATGAATAAAAACAACTTTTGATGGAACTCTGAGTTTCATGCCTTTCGGCAATCATCAGCCATTGTGTATTTCGTCACTTAAAAACCGTTTAAAAATTACAAATTAAAATTACGGTGGAACGAGTTCTGACATTACCAAATAAAACAAAACAAAAACAAAAAGATGTCAAAGGTTTTAGTGCCCGGTATCAAATAAGGATAGTAAAAGTTTTTTTGAATGCCGGCACTTTGATATTATTTCATATCTTTTATTAAGTAAGTTTTCTCCTTTTAATGATAATATGTGAAACTTCTTGCGGAGACAAAGATTACAAACTTTTGATGCTTGATTGTAGGGCTTACATTGTGCTATTATCTTCCATGTAATCACAGGATTTATATGTTTCGATTTTAGCTCCCATATTTCTTTGGAAAGTTCAGTGTCATTTTTATATTTGGGTGCATTAAAAGATTTAAGATGGTTGGCATATCTTAATTTAAATGTGGTTTCACTTATTCCAAAATAAACTTTATCTTTGCATTGAGGATCACCAGAACTTACAGTGGCTTGGTATACGATATTGCTAAAAAGGCATTTGTTATTTAACGGACAAATATTTTTGTCTATGCAGTTACATTTTTTTGATGTTTTATTTTTATCGCTATGTAAAATTTTGTTATTATGTGTATTTATTAAAGACTTGACATTAGGCATGCAACTATAGCTAACTTTAATATAGTTTCGATTAAAAATTTTATGAAGCCTGTGTCCTACTGGGAAGTGTTGGTCAATTAAAGCTGAAAAACGATTTTCAATTTTAGTTTCAACATTTTTGTTAAAGGGATCCCTAAGTGCTCCTAACATATGATCTCATATGAAAGAGCATAAAAAAAAAATATGTAAGTTTTTTTTCTTTTTCACTAAATTGTAATAATAAATGCATGCTAACAAAAAGCAATTGCCGAAATCACTAAAAAACAACTCCATTTTGATTTTATTTTTTCACCATTGAAACTCGATTGTTAGTCGTTAAAAATCACGTTAGTACGTCACAACAACTTTAGCATATCTACTTCGATTTTCAAGTAAAAAAAAGTCGTGATTAAATAGTTAAGTTTTAATCAAGTTTTTTTAATTAGTTTTGCAAAAACAGTATAATAGCATTCGGTTGAAAGACGTCGTTAAAAAAAAGTTATAAGTAATAGTTTTAAATAGTTTAGAACTTATAAAAAAGTCTTACAGGGCTCGTATTAAGCGTATCGCGATCGCGATTGCAACACACACTTTTGTGATTAGTTTTCTCTTAAAAAAAATCTTTTCGCGACTCGTTTTTTTTTTTGGTTGATTAATTACTTTTTTTCTAGCTTAGCATTTTTTTTAGCAATTCTTAAAAGTAATGTTTTTATCATAAAGAACGTCACACAAAATTTATTATTCTAAATAGATAGATGAATAGATGATTTGCTCTTTCGCGCGGAGATTTTCTTTCAACGTAAAACATTTTTGAATTTAAATTACTTTAAATCTCTGTGTGGAATATTTTTACAAGGTCGTTAAAAGCGAAAAAGTTGAAAAGTTGGTTTTTATCTTTGTTTATCAAAACTTCATGTTTAAAATAAGGCTTAAAAACGTTTAGAGCAGAAAAATTACTGACTTTTATTTGCATTTTTTATACTGTTTGAAAAAAAAAAAACTAATAAAAAAGAATTAATATATAATTATTAATTAATATATTATTAGTTAATTCTTTTTTATTAGTTTTTTTTTTCAAACAGTATAAATATGCTAATAAAAACCAGCAATTTTTTTACTTTAACGTTTTTAAACATGAAGTATAATTCGATTTATTAAACCAAATTTTTTTGTTTTATCTTTTATTGGAAAACTTGAAATAGAAAAATTGAATAAAAACATCAACCATTTAAATGAAAAACTTAATTATATTTAAACTTTTATTAGTCCTTTATTCAAGAAACAATAAATTATAAAAAACGTGGTATCTAAGTTTTTGACGATGTTATTTGATTTATTGACGATAACTTTTTCCCCCCATTACCGCACATCGGCGCGAGCTATAAGAGAGAGGAGGGGGGGAGGGGGAGAGAGAGCAAAAAAAAAAAATTTTTTTTCGCGATTAGATTTTTTTGCATTAATTCGAGCCTTGTCTTAGATTAATTTCTAATAAAATGTCTATTCAACCTTATCAATTTGAACCAAAAAAATATAGCAATTTAACATAAATGTTAATTCAACTAAAACATTTTACAATCATTATTTTTTGTATCAAGCAAAAATGAGAGTAACTGTCACTTTTGAAACCATAAAAATTACTGAAATAAATTTATTTTTTTACTAAGGAAATATTTTAAATAAACTTTCTTATGTCTAAGTCAATATTCATTTGTTTTTAACTGACTAAAAAGAGTTTAAAATTTGACTTCTATTCATTTTTAGCCGTGGAATTGCCCTTATAACACAAATATATAAATTAATATTATAAAAAAAAATTGTAATATACAAATATATTTTTACATAATGCTACAAAACTTATTCTTGTAAGTAATTATGTGTTAGTTGAAAAAAAACGACTTTACTTTTAAATTTAATTACCAACTAATAAGTTTGCAATAATGACATTTTGTCTACTTTGTTTAATTTGACGTACTAACGTTAGTTTTTTGAGGCAGTAGAGTCAATAAACTTTGGACAAGACGCATTTTTTTTAATCGAAGGAAAGCGTTTTTTTGAAAATTAAATTTGTTAGTGTGTATTCATTATTGCGTTTTAGAAAAAATAATGTACATCAAACATTTTTTTTTTTTATACTCTTTCATATGAGATCATATCTTTATAGCACTTAGGGATCCCTTTAAATGGGGGGTTGTACCATATAAATTTACGTTTGCGATGTCTTTTTTGATTTTTGTTTATTTTCAGTTGGTAGGTGAGTTTTGAATTGTATCCTGATTTACGTAAAGCCTCTTCATACGGAATAATTGAATTATTGAACACAGTTTCATTTACTGCCATATTCGATAATATATATATATATATATATATATATATATATATATATATATATATATATATATATATATATATATATATATATATATATATATATATATATATATATATTAGTTGAGGACCCGTAAAAATATGGGTCTTTGTAAATTATTCCACACTGAACTTTCCTATACTTTTTCCTTATATATCCTAGCTTTCCGGATCCGTAAAATACAGGTCTTTACCAATTTACATATATATTCCTCACCAATTATTTCTTTACCTATTCCTTATTTACTTACAATATTTTTTAGTAAAATAATTTATTCTGAAAAAAACTTTAAGAGCAAAAAACTTATGCGCACTTTTTCCGCATACTTAGAGCTTATAAGAGACTTATAATTAGGTTTGTTTTTCTGCTAAATAAATTTCTTTGATAGCTCAGTGGTTAAGTGCGCTGTCATCAGTGTTGTTTTGGAGAGTTTAAAACCTCCTCTTAGCGTAATAAATTTTGAAATTTTTTCAAACTTGCTTATATATATAAAAAAATAATATAGCAAAAAAGATTTCTAAAACTTAAAATAAAATTTTAAAGTTTTCTCATTTTATCGATATATAGATATACAGTATTATTCCATATAATGCCTGCAAACTCAACATATGCTAAATACATTTACTCTTACAAACGTTTGTAGGTAATGCTATACAAATGGAACTAAGAAGATCTTAGAGCACTAAAACATAAAAAAAAAATTATTTTTTATGATTAAGATCTAAATAATATTAAGTGTTAATCTAAAAGTTAAGCCAAAAAGATTTTGCGCATTGACATTAGTTTGGGGCAAAATAAACCTTTATGTGTCAAGTTTCCTTTGGCATTTGTCTTACATTTTTTTATTATGTTGCATATGTAATTAGTGTAAATAATTGTATATTAACTATTATTGTATTGCGTTGTGGGCGCGTTGTATATTATATTGTGTATAACGTTTATACTGTTTATTATACCCTTGAGGGTATTTGCAAATATATATATATTGAGTAAAGATATTCAGAAAGACAGTAAGAAAAAACAAATGTAGATTTATTATCACAAGCTATTTCGGCAATGAGTATTGCTATAAGGTTTGCGGATTTGGTGTCACAGTACAATGGTTCGGGTGATTTTTCAGAATTGATACAGAAATTGAAACTGGTAGCAAAACTTCA